ACAATAAGACTTTATTTTAATTTAACATCTAAACATCTTTATTGCGAGTCAAAGATTTATAATTTTGTTTTAGAAGTACAAAATGAATTTGATTAGTAATCTAGTGACTAGAAATACCCGTGTTTATGCTGAACTATCAAATAAACTGTTTTAATGTTTTATTGTTTACGGATTGTAGTATCACTAAGTGGAACAAATTAAGAGCTGGGCAGGACGAAATTGTAGATGTACTAAGAGATTGGACGACTGTGTGCTGGACACTACAAAAGGAACAATTAGAACAAGTTGCTTTTGGTCTCACCACTACGGTAGTGATGCCGCTGTATCAGAAAACGTATAAAAGAAAAAAGCTAAAATTTCGCTCTCATTGTGATTTGTTCACTTATAATCAGCATCTTTTTATTATCTATTCACATTAATTGTAGAATTTTAGACAACTTATATGACATTTTGAAACTTATTTTTTTACTTGTACAAGTTGAATTTTTCAACTCTTTAGAGAATTACGTTTATTATCTAATAGTGATAATTTTGGTCTTAATATTACCCATTAAATGTAAAAAACAAAAGTAGAAGAGTGGTGTGAAACGTCTTTACGAGAAAAACTGTTAAAATTCTCGTTTAAATTTTTGTCTTGTGATCATCCCTCAAAACGACTTAGTAATCTTTGGTTCTGACAATTTTCTCGCAAAAGCACCAGCGCCTAACCATCTGGATTTTCATTCTACACTGTTCTGGCGCCATCGACGACCGCTTGCCACCAAAATTCTAGAACTTCTTTATCTTAGCCTAGTTTCTGTGACTTTATTTGATACGTAAAGGTTGTAGATAAACTTAGTATTTTCTACATACTGTATACATCTACAAAATATATAATTTTGCTGCTACTTTATATTTATCGTATGTGTTTACAGAATATATATTTAATATAATACTAAATGCGTAAGTGAGCAAGTAGTAAACAAATAAATAATAAATAAATAAATAAACGAATAAGTTAATAAATAAATAAATAGATAAATATAAATACAGACATAAAAATAAACA